CCCAGCATGCTCCAGTGTGAACAGCTTTTCCCACAATTCACTAGGACGAACCGCTTTTCCCAGCATACTCCAGTACAAACCACTCTTCCCCCACAGTTCACCAGTTCGAACCGATTTCCCCAGCATGCACTGGTACAAACTGCTTCCCCCCTCCCTTCATGCTCCAGTACAAATGGCATTTTCCACCGTTCACCAGGACGAACCAATTTTCCCAGTCCCAGTATACCCTGGTGCGAACCGATTTCCCCACAATCCACCAGTGCAAACCGCTTTTCCCAGCACATCCCAGGATGAACCACTTCCCCCCAGCAATTTGCTAGTATGGACTAGCAATCTGTGTGGACGGCGGTGCCCAGCCACGTCCGGATCCATCTGTAGCCCGGGCAGGGAAGGGCTGCGGCTGGCGCCTCCCTCTGACCCCGCCTCGGCTCTCTGTTTCCAGTACGTGGGCATCCAGTTCATCAGCACGGTGCAGCCCATCCTCAAGGAGCGCTGGACGCCGGAAGTGGAGGAGGCCTGGCAGGTAGGGAGCAGCTCCGCGGTTGGCCCTCTCCCATGCTGCCGCTGGCAGAAGTCCCGTCCGCGCCTGGGTGGGCTGGACCCCTTCATCCTGCCCTGAGCCCTTTGTGTGTGGCTCCCGCCGTCAGCTGCAGCCAGAGGGGAACTAGACGCGGCCGTCTGGGGGGCTTATGGGGGGGCTTTGCCCTCCTGGTTGGCCTAGTAGTGGGTTTGGAGCCCAGTTCTCAGCAACACATAGGCTCCTCTGGCAGCATCCAGGGGCCTTGATGTGGATTGAAATGGTCCACTGATGATCCACCCCATACAGGCCTCCCCAGGGCCCATGAGGGGCGGATCGGGGGCGTGGCCGGAGCGCACTGCGCTGTGGTTATTCGCTGCCCCCCCCCCCCCAGGGCCCATAGGGGATGGAGTCTGACTTAGAGCAGCCCTCAGGCTGCTCTAACTGGGGACTGGGCTAGGCCCTGCACGGTGTATTCAGGGAGTGCAAAGGGGGCTGTATTACGATACAGATCACGCAGAGGGACTGTCCTGCCCAGCCCCTGCAGCCTTGGGCTGGAGCATGCTCAGTTACTCTGTCGGGAGCTGGATCATGCTCAATGCAGACAGAATCTTTGGGGAATTTAGTTGCCAAACTCTAACCAGTCTCTACTGATTACATGCGAACTGAGATTCCCCCCTGCCCCCAAAAAGCTTCTAACTTAGCCAGATATGAGTGGATTGTCACAGGGAGGGCAAAAGGCACCTCCCTGGCCCCAGGGCGACCATGCACGAACCAGCCGCCCGGCCAGGCCTGCTTCACCCCTTGTGCATTCTCTCTCCCCTCCCCTTGCAGAGTCTGTTCAAGTACCTGACGGACACGATGAAACGGGGGTACTACGAGGAAGAGGAGAAATTGGGCAGCATCAAATCCCTTGCCTTGAGGAAACCCGGGACTGGATCCATCCTGAACAGCATATAGGTCCAAGAGCGGGCGGCGTAGCGCTTGGCTTGGCTTGCTGTGATATTCCCATAGGACCTCTCCTTCCCCCTGTGCACAAGGAACTGCCCTCGCTTGTTACTTTCACAGGCTGTGATTCCAGCTGAATCCAGCTGTGATTCCAGTGCAGAGGCTGGATTTTTGCTGCTGGTCGGAGGCCCCATCTGTGTAGCCGGGGTCCCCCCCAGGGGTCACCGCAGCAGGTAGAGGCAGTAAACTATCTCTGAACCCTTTCTACTTTGGGTATAGGCAGTTCTGGGTGAGCTTCCTGGAAGGGAAAAGGGGCCGAGAACAGGAGTCGGCTTTAGAGACCGGCGTGAGGGCCTTGATTTCTATATATGGACTGTTATCCGCCTGGCCCATCTAGCAGCGCCGGGGAAGGGGTTAAACATCCCCCGAGTTTGCAGAGCGGCAGTGTTAAAGGTGACTCGCAAAGGGAAATGAAATTGGGGTGGGTGCCTTCTCCCCGTTTGGCTTCTTTACAATGGATCCAGACACCCTGAGAAATTAAATTCAGTCCGCCCCAGCTGCCAAATGGGAAGAACAACCATTTCTTGCAAGCTGGTAACAGTCTACTACCGCTGCCAGCTCTGGGAGTGACTCTGTTAGCTTGAGTGGTGGAAGCCCGTGCTAGGCACAAGACGAGGTAGAGACAGACAGAGGGGGAGGACAAGGAGACAATCTGGGCAGGTTCAAACCTGGTAGATGACCCGGTACTGGGTGCCGGTATAAAACTGGTGCTGGAGAGGGGCCGTGAAATCACGTGGACCTCAGGGAGAGGGGGCGATAGAACAGAAGTAGCCTTACGCTGTGGTTAAAGCACTGGCGAGGGATGCAGGAGACCAAGGGTCACTCCCCACCTCTGCTACAGCTTCCCGGTGTGACCTTTGGCAAGTTACTTCATCTTTCTAGGCCTGGGTCCCCCCCCAATCTGTACAGTAACTGTGCCTTTGCCCGGTTACACTGGAAGTTGTTTGGGGCAGGGGCAGTCTCCCATGGGGCCCTGATCTCAGTTTGAGGTGGCAGCACAGCAAGCTTTGACAGTAGAAACATTGACCTGGCAATCCACCCGGCAGGACTCGATGAGAACTCGCCCCGGGGCTGGTCTAGGCACAAAAATTGCACCAATTTAACTAAACCCCCCGCCCCCAAAATTCAAAGCCAACTTAGTCAAATGAGTGCAAACCCACCTTAACGATTATTTATTATTTGTATTATGGTAGCACCCACGAGGCCTAGCCATGGACCACGCCCCCTTTGTGCCAGGCGCTGTACATTTTGATTGCTATTACATGTATTACGGTAACACCTTGGCGCCCCAGTCACGGAACAGGCCCCCCACTGTGCCAGGCGCTGTACATTTTTATTGCTATTACATGTATTACAGTAGCGCCTTGGCGCCCCAGTCATGGAACAGGCCCCCCACTGTGCCAGGCGCTGTACATTTTTATTGCTATTACATGTATTACGGTATCACCTCGGCGCCCCAGTCACGGAACAGGCCCCCCACTGTGCCAGGCGCTACCGCTGTCAAGATTTTTGTGGGCTTGGGGGCAAAGGAGAGTTTTAAGGGGAGCGTAGAAGGCGAACGATGAAGTGGCTTGAATTCAAACTGGCTCTGAATGGTTCCGCGGCAGCTGGGGACTTCCTCTGTGTCAGGCGCTTCCCCCTCCCGTAGTGCCTTGAACATCTGTATCTCACAGTCCCTATGTGAGGGAAGGAAATGCGGGTATCCCCCATTACACAGATGGGGAAACCGAGGCCCAGATCCACAGCGCTTCCTAACTTTATTTGAAATCAGCGGAAGTTCGGCGCCTAAATACCTTTGAGGGTCGGAGACATCAGGTCACACAGAGAGCCTGTGACATTTAAGCTAAGCGGCTATAAACTAGGTTGAAATCTGTATCCATCCTAAAGAAGCATTTTCACCGTCAGATTGACACTCACGACACAGACACGCCCCTCGGCCCCATGACACCCCCCCACACACACACACACACGCTCCAAACGCAGGAATTAACTAAAGCTCAAAAATCCAAATCCCCACCCGGCAGAATTTTCACCCCAGAAATGGAGAACGCCATGAAATCCACTAGGGTCATGGCTGTTGCTCATTTCACACGGCAGGCCCCCAAATTCCACAACGATGGGTAGCAATAGAAAACCGTAAGGCCTGGTCTACACATAGATTTTGTCCTGGTATCACTATATGCGTTAGGAATGTGATGTTTTTAACTGATATAGTTATACCGATATAAACCGTAGTGTGGATGCAGTTATACTGGTATAAAGGGGCCTTAAACCAGTATTAGGCCTGGTCTACACTACGAGTTTAGGTCGACTTTAGCAGCGTTAAATCGACTTAAGCCTGGACACGTTTACACTACGAAGCCCTTTCTGTCGACTTAAAGGGCCCTTTAAACCGGTTTCCTAACACCACCTCGACAAGGGGATTAGCGATAAAATCGACCTTAGGGGGTCGGAATTGGGCTAGTGTGGACGGAATTCGACATTACTGGCCTCCGGGAGCTATCCCACAGTGCTTCATTGTGACCGCTCTGGACAGCACTCTCATCTCAGATGCACTGGCCAGGTAGACAGGAAAAGCCCCGCGAACGTTTGAATTTCATTTCCTGTTTGCTCAGCGTGGAGAGCACAGGTGACCATGCAGAGCCCATCAGCACAGGTAACCGTGATGGAGTCCCAGTCCCAGTCCCAGGATCGCAGAAGAGCTCCAGCCTGGACCGAACGGGAGGTACAGGATCTGATCGCCATCTGGGGAGATGAAGCAGTGCTCGCCGAACTCCGAAACAGTAAAAGAAACGGCAAAACATTAGAAAAGATCTCCAAGGCCATGAAGGACAGAGGCCATAACAGGGACGCGCGGCAGTGCCGCGTGAAAATTAAGGAGCTAAGGCAAGCCTACCACAAAGTCAGAGACGCAAACGGAAGGTCCGGGGCAGAGCCGCAAACATGCCGCTACTACGCGGAGCTGCATGCCATTCTAGGGGGTGCAGCCACCACTAGCCCAAGCGTGTTCTATGAGTCCCTCTCTGCAAACGGGGAAGCGGGTTCGGCGGACGAGGAAGATGAGGATGGAGAGAACATAGATAGCTCACAGCAGCAAGGAAGCGGAGAAACCAGTTACCCCAACAGCCAGGATATGTTTGTCACCCTGGACCTGGAAACAGTAACCCCCGAACTGACCCAAGACCCTGAGGGCACACAGGGGACCTCTGGTGAGTGTACCTTTGTAAATATTACACATGGCTTAAAAACAAGCGTGTTTAATGATTAATGATTAATTTGCCCTGGCAATCGCGGCCAGTACAGCTACTGGAAAAGTCTGTTAACGTGTATGGGGATGGAGCGGAAATCCTCCAGGGACATCTCTAGAAAGCTCTCCTTCATGTAATCCCAAAGCCTTTGCAAAAGGTTTCTGGGGAGGGCTGCCTTATCCCGTCCGCCATGGTAGGACACTTTACCACGCCAGGCCAGTAGCACGTAGTGTGGAATCATTGCATAACAAAGCATGGCAGCGTATGGTCCCGGTGTTTGCTGGCATGCAGACAACATCCATTCCTTATCACTCTTTGTTATCCTCAGGAGAGTGATATCATTCACGGTCACCTGGTTAAAATGGGGCAATTTTATTAAGGGGACATTCAGAGGTGCCCCTTCCTGGTCTGCTGAACAGAAATATTCCCCGCTGTTAACCACGCGGTGGGGGGGAGGGTTGAAGTGACCATCCCAGAGAATTGGGTGTGAGGGGGAGGGGAGTTAGTTGGGTTTGTGCTGCATGTTAAACCTGAAATCGCAGCCCCTCCTTTTACATTGCAAACCCATTTTAAATGGCACGGGTGCTTGGTATGGGAAATGAGGGCAGAACTGTTTGAAACCATCCCCACATGTTAAGAAGGTTAAAAAAGCCCAAAGACTATATGTCTTACCATGGCTGCCTGCAAGCTGAAATCTGTGTCCTGGCACTGCGTGAGTGATCTCTCACACCAAACCAGGAGACTCTCAATATAAGAGGAAAAATGCGACCTTGTAACGAAAGCACATGTGCTGTGTGATGTTGTGAACAGCAAAATCTAACGTGAAAGAGTCTACCCATTGTTCTCTAAAATGTATCTTTTTTAACAACCTCTCCCTTCTCCACCAGCTGCAAATCTTACTCCTTCGCAGAGGCTAGTGAATATTCGAAGAAGGAAGCGAAGGACGCGTGACGAAATGTTTACTGAACTTCAGACTGCCTCCCACGCTGACAGAGCACAGCTGAATGCGTGGAGGCAGTCAATGACTGATTTTAAAAAAGCCCAATATGAGCGAGAGGAGAGGTGGCGTGCTGAATCGCGGGCTGAAGAGGAGAAGTTGCGTGCTGAAACGCGGGCTGAAGAGGAGAGGTGGCGTCAACTTGTAATCAGAAAGCAAGAGTCGATGCTCCGGCTGCTGGAGCATCAAAGTGATATGCTCCTGCGTATGGTTGAGCTGCAGGAAAGGCAGCAGGAGCAGAGACCGCCGCTACAGCCCCTCTGTAACCAGCAGCCATCCTCCCCAAGTCCCATTGCCTCCTCACCCAGACGCCCAAGAACACGGTGGGGGGGCCTTCGGCCACCCACTCACTCCACCCTAGATGATTTCCATAGCAATAAGTTTTAAAGTTTTAAATTGGAGTGTGTCCTTTTCCTTCCCTCCTCCCCCACCCATCCCGGGCTACCTTTCCAATTATCCCCCTAGTTGTGTGCTGAATTAATAAAGAATGCATGAATGTGAAGCAACAATGACTTTATTGCCTCTGCAAGTGGTGCTCGAAGGGGGGAGGGTAGTGGGGGAGGGTGGGGTGGTTGGTTTGCAGGGAAGTAGAGTTAACAGGGTGGTGGGGGAGGGGCAGAGGGTTCATCAAGGAGCAACAAACAGAAGTTTCACTCCGTAGCCTGGCCAGTCACAAAACTGGTTTTCAACGCTTCTCTGATGCGCACCGCGCCCTGCTGTGCTCCTCTAACCGCCCTGGTGTCTGGCTGCGCGTAATCAGCGGCCAGGCGATTTGCCTCAACCTCCCACCCCGCCATAAATGTCTCCCCCTTACTTTCACATATATTGTGGAGCGCACAGCAAGTAGCAATAACAATGGGGAGATTCTTTTCGTTAAGGTCTGAGCGAGTCAGTAAGCTGCGCCAGCGCGCTTTTAAACGGCCAAATGCACATTCCACCACCATTCGGCACTTGCTCAGCCTGTAGTTGAACAGGTCCTGACTGCTGTCCAGGCTGCCTGTGTATGGCTTCATGAGCCATGGCATTAAGGGGTAGGCTGGGTCCCCAAGGATCACGATAGGCATTT